GGTCCGACGTTGTTTTCATCGATATCTACATTGCTTCCTTGATTTACTTCCAGTGTTTATTGAGTCCTTCGGCTGGCGGTTGAACTGACAGGCGATCGGAGAGCTCCGCTTCGAAGGCCGATTTTCATGAATCACTGACACTGTATCGCGGATATCCGTTATCGGTGGCTTTTTTCGGTTGTTTGTAAGGCGTAAGGAGAACTTGGCTCCCGTTCACGTATACATATACACAAACCGGAGCAGAAACATGACTGTGCAAAATGAGAGTTATGCGTACGCCTATCTATCTTACTTCTCGCGCACACTATTTATTGTGCCCCTGCTCAAACAAAAGCCAAAGGCCGCACAGATGTCTAGGAAGATAACACTCAGTCTACGACTGCGCACATACCAACTATATTTTGGTGTCCTCAGCCAACAGTTCTAAAATCAGCAAAATTATCTAAACCTCAAATCACCCGAATTTGAGAATTTGTGGCGCCGTCACGACATTTGGCTGTCCGTGAAGAATCGAGTATATGCTGTTGCAGTTCGACCAGGGCTGCTATACGGTGCAGAGTCTTGGTCATTACAGGAACAGACAGCGGTGTTGGAACACCGCTGTGCCCTCAAAGCGGAAGCATCGCTCGTAGTTCGCAGCCCAGATCTCCGTGGATTATGCATCTGGTTAAGATTAAATCTACCCTTGTCCGCCTATAAGATAATGGAAACGATCCTGTAGCCTGCAAACATCCTTCGTAGTTAATCCCACGCAGCCCAGCAACGAGGCGTGTGGCACTGCGCTGTACCCGTTTCAGCTTGTGTTCCTGCCTTTGTGCATGGAAACGATGCAGGGCTGCTGTATTCCAATCTTGGGATACCCTGAGTGATCTAAAGTAGATGGAACTTAGTATACTTTCCCCGAGTGCATTCAAAGTTTTGTACGCATCCTATGTGCGCAAGTTATCATATGATAACCTGCTGGAAAAGGGTGGCGGTAGGGGCTAGAGCACTCCGCCTGAAATGCGAATAATCTGTGGCGGTTTCCAAATTAGGTAGACCGTAAATACGCCCTGAACGGCTGATTGATGGAATAAACTGGCACAAAGACGGCTAAAGTACGCTTTACGCAGTGTTGGAAGCTACAAATATCCACCAACCACACAACCGGGACGATCGATTGACTGGAAGCCACATTTCGTCTTGTACATACTGAACTGAAATGAACAGCAAAGTACGGATAATTTTCAAGCACCCGGGGCAACATGTCAGGTCAGATCGGGTCCGAGGACGTGCAGCTGATGCCACGTACCGTCCAGTTTCTTGCACTGATGAGCTGCGATCGTCTTCTTAGTGCTTCGAAAGCGTATCGTATGTATCCGTTGTCGTTCATCGTCTGCAAAAGAGTAAGGGTGGCAGCCCGTTTACTCTGACAGGAGGACCAGTCATTCGGAGTTGTGCAGGTTCACGCCGCTTATCCGACGTCGCACACTCCCCCTCGTGGTCGATCCCTCCAGCAGGGTCTCGGCAGGTCAAAAGAGTTGGGGGTGCTTCAGTATAAAATCAAAAGTAGACTACTTTAAAATGTAGCTTTTTAAGAGTAAATGGAGTAACGCAGGACGAAAAGGAACAAAAATAAAGATATGTAGTCTGAGGGTACTCCTAAAGATGGAGGTCCTCCGGGAACACTTCCTCCCAACACTGGTCGAGTAGGAGCTTGAAGACAGCAACTGATTCTGCCGCTACCGCCTCCGTAAGTAGCTTGTTCCAGGCGTTAATCACCCCGCACAGGAAAAAATGTGCTCTGGTGGTCGTACTCGCTCTGGGTTTGCCAAGCTTCCATGCGTGCCCTCTCAGTGCTGAGTTCCCACTAAGGCTAAAGAGAGGTTTATCCGTTGTCTCGAATCCTTATATCAATTTAAAGGTCTCCACTAGATCCCCTCTCATCCTGCTTCTCTTGAGGCCGAACAGCTTTAGCCTCCGACGCCTCTCGCCAAACCTCAGGTTCCCAAGTCCTACAACGAGTTTTGTGAAACGGCGCTGTATACCCTCTATTAATTGAGTGTCCCGAACCAGCGCTGGTGTCCATGCCTGGACGCAATACTCCAGGTGATGTCTCCCAAATACCTTGTATAAAGGCACTGTTACTCTGGCCTTCATTGAGGCAACTGTGCACATCAGTTGGTAAAGTGCTCGGTTGGCCTTGGTGGCCGCAACCCGGCATTGCTCGGATGGCCTGAAGGGCTGAGTAACTAGGACTCCTAGGTCTTTCACTTCTTCTACTTGTGGGACTAGCCTGGGGTTCTCCGGATTCAGGTGGCGGTTCACCGATATCCGTGCGTTCCTCAAGTGACTGCACTTATCTGGGTTTATTGGGAGCTCCCGTTCAGTCGCCCATTTGTATATCCTATTTAGGTTTTCCTGCACTTCGTTATCTTTGAGCCTACCTACTAGTCTGAGATCATCTGCAAAGATGAATGTCGCCAGCCACGTCGTTAACGTAGATAAGGAACAGAAGCGGCCCCGGAACTGAACCCGATGGCACCCCACTGGAGGCGCCTGCTTGTCTAGATCTCTCTTCATCCATCTCAACGAAAAAGGATCGGTTACTTAGGTAGGCAGCAGTCCATTGTAGGATCCCCTCGTTTATATTGAGTGCTCTCATCTTAGCTAGGGGGTAGCGGTGGTAAATAGAGTCGAAGGCCTTTTGGGAAATCTATGTAACATACCTCATCTGCCTCACTCCGATTAATCTTGCCCGCGAATTCATCCAGGAAGGATAAATGATTTGTGAGGCAGGACCTCCTCTTCGTGAACCCATGCTAACATACAGCAAGTGGACCATGTTCTGCTACATGTGAGCTCAGTCGACCCCGAAGTACATTCTCCAGGACCTTGAGTGGTAGGGAAAGTAGACTTAATGGGCGGTAGTTTGATGCCTCTTCCTTGGTACCTCCCTTGTGGATCGGGATAACTTCGGTCTGTTTCCAGTCTGATGGTAGCATTGT